ACAAGAAAAACAAATGGTTATGAATTACAAAACTAATTAAAACTGAGTGTAAAACTCCTAGTTATTTATAAATTTTATAATGTAGTATATAAAATTTAGCTATCCCAGGGGGAGTGTGGTACGGCACTTACTGCAAGTGCAGTAGTAATTGTTGTTCTCTTTGATCACTGACCTTGGGACCTATATTGTTATGTATAATTATGCAGTTATATCGGTATTAACATATTATCAAGGTCATTGGATGTAGACCATCGTTTGGCTTCTTATTATTTATCTTAAGCTCAGCGTACAAACGATACGTTATTTTGAGCTGGTTCATGGAACCAAGAAGAAAAAAACTAAAGTCAAAGATTAAATTAATTCTTTGAGACAGTATTGTTTTAAATCTGAGTTGTTCATTCCCTTTCCTTGTCACAGTCCTTAATGTTTTCAGACAGCTCGAAAAATCAAATTCGTCTACTTTAAATAATGTCGACAAATTTTTCAATTTTTTTTCTTCAAAAAACCGCCTCCGGGAACTTTTAGAACTCTAACAGAGATGAATTAGTCACTGATCAGTGACCGTTCGACAGATCTGAACTTTCAAGAACGTATCAGCGCTAATTCAAGCCTGCATTAACACTGCGGAAACCATATCTCCGATGCATTGATTGCTCATCGCTGACTATTTTTGCTCATCAATTAGTCTGAATTGAATTAGTTTCACAATTATTCTGCAGGCTGCCTCTCAACCGACGAAAATCAGAGATCAGTTGATAAATTCTTCCCTGAATATCCCGGCATGATTAAAAACGCTAGTCATACAATCGCATATATGGACGATGCATTTCATTGATTTGAAAATGTACAACAAAAATTATATGATTACCATTCTTCCATCAAGAGAATTGTATGACTAGCATTCTTCCATAATCTTTCAAATCTCCCTTTTCTTCGTATTATTTCTGTTTAAGTATTTGTCTGTTTGTGTTTGTTTCCGTGGATAATTGATAACCCTAGGTCAGAGTGACATTTAAAACCCCATGGATACAGAACAGGGACGGGTACATGGGGCGAATCGGTTTTTTTTTTCAATCGAATTTTATGAATTGCCTCTGGAGGAGCGTTATGTTTTCCGAATGACTTTTTTGCCAAATGGATTGTATTCTGACTAGTGCGGGCATATTCTTGTTTTTTTTCCAAAATTTTATAAACTATGGAAACTAAGAAGCAGGCATGCAAATCATACATTTCTTTGACCAATTAATTTTTTTGAAAGCACTACATCTGACGGAAATTGATGTTGATTTATGAGAAACACTCCTTAAAAAATTTGGCGCACGTTTCTGATGTTGTTCCTCTGTTATTTTTAACCGGATGCAAACAAATGATATCAATTGAACACTTTACGCCTCATTGTTTTAGATGGGCGCAACCGAAAAAAAATGGCGTAATTTTGATTAATTTCCGACAACTATAGGTAGGTTGTAGCTACAACCAACCCCCCCCCTCCCCCCCCCCCCCCCCCCCTAGTTAGCTAAAAAAAACACAAACAAAACTAAATGGAAATCAAATTATAATTGACATTCTAAAACTTCGTTGTTTTGGTTATATTCGGATTAATAAAAAAAAAACGAAATTTAAATCAAGCGCCCCGCAATGACGTTCCAGTGATAATAATAATTTCTATTTGGTTTTTAATCATGGTCTTTATTCCAGAATTTTAAAATAATTGATTATAATGGCTTAACAATCGATTCTGAATCGAACAAAGTAGGAATCAATTTAATATGGTACAACCGATTCATTTTATTAACTAAAGATAACAAGACTGATATTGTTCCGACTGCCTTTTAAGATCCATGAAGCAATAAGTACATGAAAAAAAAATTGTGTAAAAAATAAAAAGAAGTTTTTTTTTTAAAAAAAAAGAATTTTTTGTGATAATCATCCTGTAATTAAAAAAAAGAATTTTTTTGTGATAATCATCCTCCCGTACGCCATATAAAGTACAAAATGATAGATTTCGCTGCTAGTAACAAATCAGTTATGGCAAACAAGCTTCATTTACCATTTTGGAACGATTTCTAAGTCGCGCTTTAATTGTCACAATTTGGCCAAAATTGCAATATTTAAGCCCCATAACTTTAGGAAAAATGAGCACAGGTGAAATATCTTTTCAAATCTAAGCTCAAGACAACAATACCTTTTGAATGATATAAAAAAAATTCCGTCAAAAATGGCTAGTTAAAAAGTCAAAATTTGTCTGAAGAAAAAACAACCCACTCCGAGCACAAATACTCCGTTACTTTCGTTACAAAAGTCTGAACAATAAAAGAATCTAATAGATTATAATAATTGTTCTTAAAAGCCTGAAATTTGAGATACATTTCCGTGTATACACAAAACTTGAACACTGCAATCGCTACATTGATTTTTACGCTTGGCTAGAGCAAAAACGTTTTTCTTGTTTTCTACTGTTTTCTTTTCCACTTAGGTGCTGCTCCATCTGAAGCTAGGTCAACTTAGGTCAAAAATTCATTTAGCGCCCCTCCCCTCAAATATGAGACAGTTATGGGGCTGACAGTACATTTTGGGCTGGGGAGGGGATAGAAGTTGGGGAAGACAAAAGAGATGAAGGTGAGGGATGGGGTTGTTCAATTTGGCTGTTAAAAATGAAAAGCGAGGTTTTAAAAGTGTACGGTGTACGGGATATATTTTAGCAAAAATTAAGTAAATGTGAATAGGTTTAGAAATCGAGTAGGCTTTGAGTGGTGCAGAAAATATTGTGTAATTACAATTCATTAATATAACCTATTCAGTTTTATATCCGTTTTTCTCCATCTTCGCTTAATGTTACTTATGACACCTTTGGCACCCATCTGAACCAAAAATGAACGAACAACATTTTTCCACGAAATTGAGAGATCCATCCTGGTATAAGCAACAGAGGGTCGCAATCTCGTGAAATGATGCTTTCAATTTATTCATCGCGAATGTATCGTCCTAATTGACTAATATCTGAAAATCTTTAAAAACAATCGGAATCATTTCAAAATTAAAAAGAAGCATCTGAGCTGTAGGAAGCTTTGGGTATACAAACAAATTTTTGTCAGATTTTGGTTTTGTTGAACTTGCTACTTAATGTTATGTAAATTGAAAAAACTATGACCAAGGCCAATCTATAGTTATCAAACTGCCCATGATCTTCAAATTAATTAGGTTAATTTTTTTCTAGACAAAATTTTAGCCATATTTTATCACTGGAAAAATATTATATTTCAATGAAAAGTCTTACCAACCCATCCCCATTGCTAAAATCAAATCGCTTAATGTTTTCAATGACGCCTTTGGCACCCATCTGAACCAAAACTGAAAAGAATCTTCTTTCACGAAAATGAGAGTTTCTCCCTGGTATAAGCATCGGAGAGTCAAGATCTCGTGAACTGATGCTTTCAATTTTTCATAGCGAATATGTCGTCCTAATTGAATGGTTTAAGAAAACCATTAAAAATGATCATAATCAATTCAGCGAATATTTAAATTGAAAAAATTGTAAGCAAGTGTAACCTGTCATAAAGAAATTAACTAGAGAGTTCTAAGCACTGGTTTAGCGAACAATTTTACAAAATAATAACCAAAATATGAAAGACAAGCACCCGGTTTGAGCAAAAATGTAAGTCATATATTTTTCATGCTATTCCATAACAACAGAAAATTTCATGAAAGGTTTATGATAAGTGATTTTTTCTCATTTGGAAACTGTATGACTAGCATTTTTTTATAAACCAAAAAATTTGTTTTTCGTTTAATTTTTTTTTCTCAAAGTTTTTAGGTTTTGTTTGTAACCAAACACAAGTGGCAAAAGCTTTGGTTACTAAAAATAAGCAAAAAACGTTACAAAATTATAAGTAAAATGTGAAAGGGCCAGCCACCCGGGTTGACCAAAAATGTAGGTCATACATTTTTTATGCTATTCCATAGGTACAGAAAATTTCTTGAAAGGTTTATGATAAGTGATTTTTCATATATGGAAATTGTATGACTAGCATTTTTTTATAAACCAAAAAATTATTTTCTTTTTAAATTTTTTTTTTTGGGTTTTGTTTGTAACGAAACACAAAAGGGAGAAAGTTTTGGTTACTCAAAATTAGAATCATTAAAAGTTTGACTGTTTCGCATTTACAATGCGTCGGATACGGCCTGAATTTTCTAATTTTTGTCTCGAACAAGTGATATAATGAAAGTATCAAACTTTTGAAATCTCGCAAAAACTTTCGAATGCAATTGTTTCTAAAAAATTTGAATTTTTAAGTAATCATGCATTGATCAAGTCATAGAAAAACATTCTATACAAATTAAATTGGCGTTTTGAGCGTTTTTGAAAAAATTTTATCTTATGAAATGGAAAAGAATCATTTTTTGTGTATCTAGGACTACGTTATGCACACAAGAAACTAATTTTTGCATGCAAAATTTTAAAAAAAACTTCGTTAGAGTGAAAAAATTGTTTTGCTACTAGAAAAAAAAAATTTTTTCTAGGGCAATTTCGATACTACTTAGAAGAGTTGTTGCTGTCGCCAGCAAAAAAATGCTAGTCATAGAATTTCCACATCACCTAGAAATTGTATGATTAGCGTTTTTTGTTGACAAAAAATGTTTCCTTTTTTGTTTACACCAAATTTAATGCCAAACAAGAGAAAACTCTTTGAAAATTCGATGACTTGGTTTTAGCGAAATGCATGAAACTTGTATGACTAATATTTTTTCATAGACTTTGTTTATGGAATTGTATGATTAGTATTTTCTGTCTATGGAGGTCAAACCGGGAAATTTAGTTCAGAATCAGTTGCAAAAGTAGTCAAAGAAAACAGATACTTTTAGTGCTTTCTTTGTGCTTTGAAAAGAATTGAAATTTTTGGTGAAGGGTTTTCGAGTTTAAGCAAAAAAACATAAGCTTTAATTCACTTTAACACAGTTTTGATTGGTATAAAATTTTGTTGAGTATCATTTTAACTCACCGATACTGACAATTTGAGATATTGAGAGTGAAAAATTAGCCCATATTTTGGTGTTGGTCTGCTTCACTGGTCTGGCCATGTAATGGTAATCTGGGTTGGCGAACAAGTACTTCTGTAATTTGACTTCATTTTCATCAGACTTAACCTTGGAGCGGGAAATGTAAGTTATAAATATTATAACCAGCCACTTATGAAGCATGTTCTTCATTTTTACTTATACGATGACTTTACTGTTAATAAGCTATAAGTTATTAAACGTTTTTCGAAAGTTGGGAATATTAATTCGATTCCTACGTGAAAAATACTTAGTTGGTTTTTCTTAATTTTTTTCTTTAATGGCCAGTTATCAGAACTGAATTTACCATAACTTGATAAATTTGCCAGTTAAAAGGCTGAAGTGAAAAATGCAAGTGCTTAAATGCCAATTTGCGTTACGATTTAACCGTTTGTAACATAAGCAGACACCAAGCAATTTCTGGAGATTCGGTCTATTATTTTAAGATAACTTGAATTCTATCACCGCTTAATGAGAATAAGGGGCGAGTAAATCATTCTTGTAAGGTACTGTTTTCTAGACCATCATAATTTGAATCAAAATGTTTTACAGGGCCATAAAGCCATAAAAAGCTTTCAAGTGGGAAAAACAGATTGCCATAACGCTATCAGGGGAAACATGCGGCGGATATTTCCCGCAGCTTTGTACAAGACCCCTAGTTGGTCTGTTTTGCAAAAATAGCCGCCTAGAAAACTGTAAATATTTCCCAAACATAATCAGAAACTATCGGCAATTTCTTAAATTAAAATGATTGACAATGTTGTTTACCAGAAAATAAGAGCCTAATGTCAATGTTAGGTCAACCTATTTTTATTAATTTGGAGTACTTTTTCAATAGAGAAGGAAGGATTAATAGATCTGTTTAACGCGTTGATATAAAACCGTCATGTTCAATTTATTTTCTAATCAGCTGAGCTTAAATTTCAGATTATATTGCATTCCATTCTTCAAGTTTTAATGGGCATTTCCCCCACCTTTAAATTTGAGGTTGACTCAAAGGTATACAATTACGCTGTTGTTGCAACCTTCGAAAAGATGGCGCTTATATATCACTATATCACATTGTACTTGATACTGGGTGAGGGGATAATTTAGAATAACTTGTTGAAAAAAAGCAAGAAAAAAGATTTTTTCTTGTACAAGTTGCACACCAACCGCGGGAGAAGCCAATTTTCGAAAGAGAGACATTTAAAGATTTGCCTCGATGCAACAAACTGTACTGTAATTACTCACCATTCGAATTGTTTTCATCAATGAAAACCTGAAACATTCGAAAAAAAATCCAGTGCCCGTTTTTTTATCTAAATATGTAAATGGCTCCATTGTTTTGTTGTTCAAGAGCATAGATCTTTGCTTTTTTTTCAAAGAAACGCATTACGAGGCCAAACTGTGTATTTTGTGAATTGTATGCGGATTCTGCAGCAAGGACGCGCTCTTTTGTTCTTTTTTTGTTTTTTCATTTTCTTTGATCGTTCCGACAAAAGTTTAACATGTTTAAGGATTTGTCTATGGATTCTAAGAACATACAGACACAAAATTGTGCGCCTATCCACTGCAAACTTTGGCTTCATAATGCGGAATTGAACTGACCTTAGAAAAATGTGAACATATACAACGAAACATTATATTTGAATGGAAACTGATATCAGTTTTTTTTCCTCAAACATCATCGCGACCAGGAGTGAATCCATTATTTTTTCGATGGCGGCGAGTTTTCAAAAAGTTCAAAAAAGTCGTCAATCGGTTTTCAATATGTACAAAACAAAACACTTTTTCATACAGGCCAAAGCAGCAGGTAAAACAGAATAAAAGTAGATCTTCATAGTCGTTAATGATTTTCCGAGCTCTACCAAAGCACTAAAAAGACCCTATAAGACCCTGCTATGAGGTCAAACCGGGAAATTTAGTTCAGAATCAGTTGCAAAAGTAGTCAAAGAAAACAGATACTTTTAGTGCTTTCTTTGTGCTTTGAAAAGAATTGAAATTTTTGGTGAAGGGTTTTCGAGTTTAAGCAAAAAAACATAAGCTTTAATTCACTTTAACACAGTTTTGATTGGTATAAAATTTTGTTGAGTATCATTTTAACTCACCGATACTGACAATTTGAGATATTGAGAGTGAAAAATTAGCCCATATTTTGGTGTTGGTCTGCTTCACTGGTCTGGCCATGTAATGGTAATCTGGGTTGGCGAACAAGTACTTCTGTAATTTGACTTCATTTTCATCAGACTTAACCTTGGAGCGGGAAATGTAAGTTATAAATATTATAACCAGCCACTTATGAAGCATGTTCTTCATTTTTACTTATACGATGACTTTACTGTTAATAAGCTATAAGTTATTAAACGTTTTTCGAAAGTTGGGAATATTAATTCGATTCCTACGTGAAAAATACTTAGTTGGTTTTTCTTAATTTTTTTCTTTAATGGCCAGTTATCAGAACTGAATTTACCATAACTTGATAAATTTGCCAGTTAAAAGGCTGAAGTGAAAAATGCAAGTGCTTAAATGCCAATTTGCGTTACGATTTAACCGTTTGTAACATAAGCAGACACCAAGCAATTTCTGGAGATTCGGTCTATTATTTTAAGATAACTTGAATTCTATCACCGCTTAATGAGAATAAGGGGCGAGTAATTCATTCTTGTAAGGTACTGTTTTCTAGACCATCATAATTTGAATCAAAATGTTTTACAGGGCCATAAAGCCATAAAAAGCTTTCAAGTGGGAAAAACAGATTGCCATAACGCTATCAGGGGAAACATGCGGCGGATATTTCCCGCAGCTTTGTACAAGACCCCTAGTTGGTCTGTTTTGCAAAAATAGCCGCCTAGAAAACTGTAAATATTTCCCAAACATAATCAGAAACTATCGGCAATTTCTTAAATTAAAATGATTGACAATGTTGTTTACCAGAAAATAAGAGCCTAATGTCAATGTTAGGTCAACCTATTTTTATTAATTTGGAGTACTTTTTCAATAGAGAAGGAAGGATTAATAGATCTGTTTAACGCGTTGATATAAAACCGTCATGTTCAATTTATTTTCTAATCAGCTGAGCTTAAATTTCAGATTATATTGCATTCCATTCTTCAAGTTTTAATGGGCATTTCCCCCACCTTTAAATTTGAGGTTGACTCAAAGGTATACAATTACGCTGTTGTTGCAACCTTCGAAAAGATGGCGCTTATATATCACTATATCACATTGTACTTGATACTGGGTGAGGGGATAATTTAGAATAACTTGTTGAAAAAAAGCAAGAAAAAAGATTTTTTCTTGTACAAGTTGCACACCAACCGCGGGAGAAGCCAATTTTCGAAAGAGAGACATTTAAAGATTTGCCTCGATGCAACAAACTGTACTGTAATTACTCACCATTCGAATTGTTTTCATCAATGAAAACCTGAAACATTCGAAAAAAAATCCAGTGCCCGTTTTTTTATCTAAATATGTAAATGGCTCCATTGTTTTGTTGTTCAAGAGCATAGATCTTTGCTTTTTTTTCAAAGAAACGCATTACGAGGCCAAACTGTGTATTTTGTGAATTGTATGCGGATTCTGCAGCAAGGACGCGCTCTTTTGTTCTTTTTTTGTTTTTTCATTTTCTTTGATCGTTCCGACAAAAGTTTAACATGTTTAAGGATTTGTCTATGGATTCTAAGAACATACAGACACAAAATTGTGCGCCTATCCACTGCAAACTTTGGCTTCGTAATGCGGAATTGAACTGACTTTAGAAAAAATGTGAACATATACAACGAAACATTATATTTGAATGGAAACTGATATCAATTTTTTTTCCTCAAACATCATCGCGACCAGGAGTGAATCCATTATTTTTTCGATGGCGGCGAGTTTTCAAAAAGTTCAAAAAAGTCGTCAATCGGTTTTCAATATGTACAAAACAAAACACTTTTTCATACAGGCCAAAGCAGCAGGTAAAACAGAATAAAAGTAGATCTTCATAGTCGTTAATGATTTTCCGAGCTCTACCAAAGCACTAAAAAGACCCTATAAGACCCTGCTTTTGCCGCAGGCACAAAACTGAACAAAAAAAACAGGTCACGAAAGGCATTTGTAGGGGCTTTTTTGGAAAATTTTGATCAAAAAATTCCGTTTTTTTGGGCGCACGCATCCCCCTCGACATTAGTAAACTTTGGCGCCGAGGGGCCCGTCAGGCAAAAGTGGATATCTCAAAATAGTACAAAGGGGAACCCTTTGGGTTGGTATGGGTTTCAACGCCTGTGCGTCCCCTTGCCCCCAAAATCTGCTCCTGAGACCGACTTAATTCATCAATGTATATCTTCATTCACTATCAAGTAAGTTAACTGTTTTTTTTTTATTTTATTCGTTTCTACCAAATTCATCTTCAAAAGTTGATTGATTTGGTTGTGGTATTAGTATTTTGTAATGCAATTTATAAAAGTCAATTTAAAATTTCAAAAAAAAAATGAAAAAATTTCAATCAAAGGTTTAGTGTTTTATTCGTAATCAACTTCAAATAAAAATCAACTAATTATTGACTGAGATTTTTAAATCTCGCAAAATTTTTCTGTGAGAGTCTTTAAAAAACAAATAATTTTTTTTCCAAAAAAAAGGTTATGACATAATTAATAGATAAATCACTTCGTTTTTAAACAGGTGAGAAAAATTTATGTCTGATGTTTCAATTTTTACCGTTGTTTTCTCGTTATCTGTTCAAGTATTGATTACAATTTTATTGTAGAATTTTGCAAAGCAAAAATTTTTCATTATTGTCTTTTACAGACGCCGATTTAGGTTTCTTTTACAATGAAGTTCGCATAAATTTTTTTGGTCAGGACGAGCAAAGACGGTGAAGTTTGTTGACAATAAACGGGATTTTTTGATAATCAAAAGCAAATTTTTCTGCATAATCTGATGTTTTGAAAGTTGCATTTCGTCCATTCTTTTGCGACTGGCAAGGATATATGGCCTAGGATGTTTTTGCTTCGCAAAAAAGCTTTTTTGTCACGCAAGCTTATATGTTTCAAATAACACGCGAGCTACGTTGAAGGTGGTATCATAATTTCATCCCCTGAGTCGTGGTTTGTTTTAAAACACAGTTTAAGAGTAAAGAAAAACTGGTATGAGAATTTTTCCGTTTTGAGCTTCAAACTTACCATAAGTGGATGAAATAAACTTTTCAATTCGACAAAAAGCTTGTCCATTTAGAAAACATTTAAGAATTTCAAAATAATCGGCAAAAACTTTGTCAAAAATGCAGCCACTTTATTGAACGCCACTGCAATGATGCCATGGTTGAACGAATAAGTAATGGCATGAAGTTAAATTTCGGACAAATCTAATCGTGATTGAAAAATTCGGCTAAAAAGTGATCAAGGAAACTACATGTGCTAAAAAACAGAATTGGGTACCTGTTTCAGGACCAGAATCTACCATTCGATTCTGAAAACAGGACATCGAGACAACACATAGAAAGACGACAAAATTTCTGGTCTTGATGACTTAAGATCGAGCAACACCAAAGTCCAAGATGCCTAAATGATTTTTTACGGGCGCTTTCACTGGTAAATCATATAAAAAGCGCGATAATATAAAATCCGTGAAATCACAAAAAATATCGCAGGCACAATTGTGCATTTTTTTCGGGAACTACAATTCTGCAGTTTGTTTTCCGGATGTAGAAAAAAAACTTTCGGATAATTTGATTTTATTGAATAAATGAATTGATGTGGCTTAACACTTTTTGTGAGCAGCCATAAGTTTTACTTTGAGCACTTGTCAAATCGATTTTCAGTCGATACCAATCAAAATCCATTTTCATACATGCCAAAACAACAGGTAAAACAGTATAAAAGTATATGTTCATAATGGTTAATGATTTTCTGAGCTCTCCCAAAGCACTAAAAACTCCCTGTAAGACCCTGTTTTTGCCGCAGGCGGAAAATTAAAAAAAAACACAGGAAATAAAGGGCGTTTTAGGCCCTTTTTGGAAAATATTGATAAAAAAATTCATTGTTGAGGCGCAAGCACACGCCTCAATACTATTAATTTTTGTCGCTGAGGATCCGTCAGCCAAAAACGGAAATCTCAAAATAGTACAAATAGGGGCTTTTTGGGTTGGGAGGTGGTTCAATCCCTGAGGTGGAAAAAGGCGTCCACCAGACCCCCAAAAACCACACCTGATCTCGACGTAAATATTTTTGTATATCTTCATTCAGTTACACGCAAAGCAAAATTTTTTTGTTTTATTCATTATTATCTGATTCATCACAACCAATCTACAGAAACTGATGGATTTTGTTGTTGTTTAATAGCATTTTGTAACGGAATTTATAAAATTCACTAAAAAAAATTCAAAAAATTTCAATCATAGCTTAAGTCTTTTTTTCATAATGCAAATAAAGCATCATTTAATTAATTATTGAGTGAGATTCTTAAAGAGAAAAATCACTTCGGTTTATTTTGTACCTTATGTTTCATTTTCACCGTTATTCTCTCATTAACTGTTCAATCATTAACTTCGAGTTCATTCTAGCATTTTGCAAGATCCAAAAATTCTCATAAATATTTTTTAAGACGCCAATTTAGTCGTCTTTTACAATGAAGTTTGGGCTCATTGATTTAGTCAGGACGAGTAAGGGCGTTAAATTTTGTCGACAAAAAACGGGAAATTTGGAAATACTTGGAGCAAGTTTTTGTTTCAAAATCTAAAATTTGCAGAATGTCCTTTTCACCATTCCTCCGCGTTTGGCGAAGACATATGGCCTGGGATATTTTTTCGCTTTGGTGTTGCTGGATCTTAAGTTATCGGGACGAGAAATATTGTCGTCTTTCAATGTGTTGTCTCGGTGTCCTGTTTTCAGAATCGAATGGTAGATTACAATACGCAAACTCAAATAGTTCCAATAACAGGCGAGCTACATTAAAGGTGGTATCATAATTCAATCCCCTGATTCGTGATTTGTTTCAAAACATAGTTTAAGAGAAAAGAAAAAACTGGTTGGAGATTTTACCAGTTTTCAGGCTCAAACTTACCGCATGAAATCACTTTTTCAAATGGACAAAAAGCTTGCTTCCATTTCAAAAATTTTATAGAGTTTTAAAATAACCAGTAGAACCTTGTCAAAATTGGTTCAATTGGGGCAAAGTTGGAAACTTTCAGTTGAAATTTGACATAGCAATCTCTATATTAAACGCCATTGCTATGACGGGAATGTATAATGGCATGAATTGAATTTCGCTCAAAATTTAACGTGACGTGATTGAATGACCCGGCTGAAAAACTAATCAAGAAATTTACATGTGCTGGAAAACAGAAGGGGGTAACTGTTTCAGGAACGAAATCCACTATTCGAGTCTGAACACAGGACATCGAAGCAACACAAAAAATTATGCCAAAATTTCTCTTCCGGATAACTTAGGCATCCGGGATTTCGATGTTGCTCGAGCTTAAGTGATTTTTTCCAGCTAATTTCCTGATAAATCAAATAAAAAGCAACAATATAATATCCTTGGAGTTACAAAAGTATCACAGTCACAAATGTGCAGTTTTTTCCGGAAGTATAATCCTTCAATTTATTTTCCGCACGTAGAAAAAAATACATTCAGACAAACTGATTTTATCGGAAAATGAATATATGTGGCCGAAACATTTTCGAAACCCTTTTTTTATACAGGCCAGAACAGCAGGTGAGACAGTATGCTAGTAGATGTTCATAGTGGTTAAGGATTTTGCGAGCTCTGCCAAAGCATTAAAAAGACGCTGTAAGACCCTGTTTCTGCCGTAGGCTTAAAACTGAAAAAAAAGGCCACAAAAGGCGTTTTCAGGACCTTTTTGGAAAGTTTTGATCAAAAAGTTGCCTTTTTTGGCGCACGGTTCTCCCTCAAATTTAATAAATATTGGCCCCCAAAAATGGATGTCTCAAAACAGTACAATGGGGGTTGGCAGGGGGTTCAATCCCTGAGGTGGAAAAAGGCGTTCCCCCAGAGCCTTCCTATATCCAACCTTGATCCCGACTTAAATAATTGAAGTATATCTTCATTCAGTAACAACTGAACCACATTTTTTTGTATTCATTATGATCATTTTCATCACTTTCAATCTTCAAAAATTGATTGAGATCATTGTAGTAGCATTTTGTTATGGAATTTATAAAACTCACTCAAAAAACTTCAAAATTTCAATCATAGATTTAGTGTTTTATTCATGATGAACTTCAAAAAAAAACAAATCATTGAATTAACTATTGAGTGATATTTTCAAATCTCAGAAAAGTTTTCGGTAAAATGTTTTAAAAAACAAACAGTTTTTTTTCAAAAAAGATTTTGACATAAGTAACTAGAAAAGTCACTTCGCTTTATTAACACTTAAACAAAGTTTATGCCTGATGTTTCATTTTTACAGTTATTTTCTCATTAACTGATCAATCATTGATTTCAATTTATTCTAGAACTTTTTTTTGCAGGGCAAAAAAAGTCTCAATAATATATTTTACAGACGCCGATGTTTTTTTACAATGAATTTTGGGCTCATCATTTTAGTCAGCACGAGTCAGGACGTTGTTACTCGTCAACAAAAAACGATAAATTTGGAAAAATTAAAAGCAAATTTTTCTCCATAATTGAAAAATTCCAGATTGTCGTTTTGACCATCCTTCTACGACTGGAAAGGAGATATGTTCTGGGATAATTTTGGCTTCGCAAAGCTGCTTTTTATCGTGAAAGCTCATATATTTCAAATATCACGCGAGCTACACGGAATGAAGTATCATAATTCAATCCCCTGATTCGTGATTTGTTTCAAAACACAGGTTAAGAGCTAAAAAAAACTGGTTTGAGTTTTTTTCAGTTTCCAGGCTCAAATTTACCACAAGTGGATGAAATTACTTTTTCAGTTTGACGAAAAGCTTGTTTCATTTCGAAAACACTAATAATTTCATAATAATTTGTAGAACTTTGTCAAACTTGGGCAAGGTTTGAAAACATCACTTAAAATGCTACATAGCAACCTCTTTATTGAACGCCACTGCAATGACGCATTTGGTAGTACGAATATGCTATGGCATGAAATTGAATTTCGGGCAAAATTTAACTTAGTTGAATGACTTGGCTAAAAAACTAGTGAAGGAATTAACATGTGAAGAAAAAAAGAAATGGGTACCTGTTTCAGGAACGGAATGGAATCTACCATTTGAGCCTAAAAACAGGACATAGGGACAACGCATAAAAAGGCGCCAAAACTTCTCGTCCCGATAATTTAAGATCGAGCAACATCAAAGTCCCGGATGCCTAAATGATTTTTACAGGCGCTTTTTCTGGTAAATCAAATAAAAAGCGATAATATAATATCCCTTAAGTTACAAAAATATCCCAGTCACAACTGTGCAATTTATTTTCCGGAAGTACAATTCTGCAATTCATTTTCCGGATGTGGAAAAAAATTACATTCAATTAATTTGATTTTATTGGAAAAATGAATTTATGTGGCTTAACACTTTTTTCTGGGCAACCGAAGCTTTTTCATTAGATCACTTGTCAAATCGGTTTTCAGTCGATACCAATCGAAACCCTTTTTCATACAGGCCAAAACAGCAGGTAAGACAGTATAGAAGTAGATCTTCATAGTGGTTAATTGTAACCGTTTTTAAACTATGCGAAAAATTAGCAAATAACTAACCGAGAACAACACCGCATGTTTAGTAGAACTGAAAGGTTTTTTTTTAAATTTATGATAGAAGACAACCTCAAAATCAAAATGGCCGACCAGATCAAATTTCGAAAAAAAAATGGAATGGCAGCTTTGGGCCTGTTATTTCAAAAATTGGATTCTGCGTAGTAGTTTGACAATATGAGGTCTTAACTGCTTGAAAAACTTTAACAATCAATTTGGCTGGTGTTAATTAGCAAAGAACTTTTCTGAAAACTTGAAAAAAGCCCAGTTCTACTATCTTGCATTGTCGCCTTGGTAGAAAGAACAGCGAATCATCCCCACCCACTCCGTATTCAAAATTTTCCCGTGGGTCATTTTTAAAACATCTTTCATATTATTATAACAAGACTGTGCAAACTACAGTCCTTTTCACCCAGTTATAGATTTTTTTACTTGTAATAAAAAATTGTCATCGATCTTTTCAATACAGACGTCGTCTTTAAATATGCAAAAAATAAATTGAGTACCAAAAATTATTGGGTTTTCGGCCAATAAAAATATCATAAGCTCTCTTTTGCTTTTGGTGTGTTTATCTGTCAATCTGATTTTGAGCCCAGTTTATGATTGGTGAGTTTAGAAAATGAGCAAATTATCACCAATTATTCCATGTGGTGGTGGGGTAGATTGCTAGAAAAGCTATTAACAAATGCAATCTGTCATTGAAATTTGCTATTATATTTCAGATTCCCCAGAAATCGTACAGCAAACGATAAACAGCAAATATGAACATCATTTATGGTAATTTTGTTTTTGTATATACATTTATTTTAAAATGTAAAAATAAGTTTAAATCTTTTGATTTTCAGCGACTACAACCCTTCTAGCTGTTATCCACTTGACCATTACAATGGACGGTCCCTTTCCGAATACGGGTGAGTGACTTTACCGTTCAAAAATTAGAGCTCACTTAGAGCTTAGTGGAGTGGAAAAGAAAGATATGGAAGAAAGCTGGCCGCCCTCAGTTAGTGGCTGTGTTGGGCGATGGGGCGCGGTGCTAATTGCTCACAACTTGCCCGTACCCAAGGGATTTTCTGTGCATGATCTGAAATTCTTTATTTCGTACAAAAGTTGATTCCCAGATCTGAAATCCTTTATTTCAGATCTTGATAAGAATTTACAAATTTCAAATCTGAAATAACCAAGAAAAACAAAACTTCAGATCTGAAATTAGATCTGATATAACCAATCCTTCAAGTATCCAAGCGTTATTTAAACATTTCACAACCTACTTCAGATCTGAAATTTAGATCTGAAAAAGATTATTTCAGATCTGTTGTAGAAAATTTACTGGGTACGGGTAACTATTCCCAATTCATTTATCAATCTGTTTTGAGAATTAACCGAGTGTCGCAAAAAGGCAATTTAATTTCTGGCAAAGGTCTTTATTACGAAGACCAGCTCGGGTACTTTTTTAGTGGTTTGGATTCCATGCATATTGTCTGTGAAATTCTGTGAAACATGTTTACATGTAATTAAATGAAATTAAAACATGTTCAGCATGTGTTTGTGTTATTCGGAAGCCCTTTACAGCTTATGGTCTCGTACTGTTGTCTGAGAGTTTGATCGAAACCATTTTTTCATAAAAATTAGTTATTTTTCGAAATTGCATAACAATAGCGCATTTTCATATCAGAATAATTCAAAATGAAACAAAATCAATTATTTTTTTTGGAAAAAGTCTAAAAGATAGAACCTTCCTGGGGTTCAATTTTGTTAAATACTCCCAGTATAATTCGCAATATACTTCAAGTATAATTCAATCCAACCGTAATAGAAGATAGATCTGAATACTCACCTAATTTTATGAAATCAATTTCACGCGAAACAATCATTTCTAAAATTTTCTTCATTTAATCTAGAAAACATCCAATGGTACTGGGCTGACCAGTCTATCGGATTGTTCGGCGACCAAGCGTGGCTTTTTCACACAGAAGTGGGACCAGTTCTAACAAAAATCGGCTGCAGCCCTTCGGAAAACTATATCCGGAAATTCAAATGGAACCCCCGTTTGCATCTTCAGCTGATTCGGGTGGAGTGTGCGGGGGAGCAGCACTGGCTTCTGATGACTGACAAGTACCCGAAGGATGTCGCTTTGTACCCTGGAGATGGGGTCAAGTTTGAAGACGACGTGCTCGTTCGTCTCGGCAGCCACTCGATCTAATAGTTCTGTTTTCTATTTGAACTAATTATCTACTGATGATTAATCTCGTCTCTCGCCTATGCTATAATTGATTTTTACTGTTATCGTTATGTTTGTTGGGTGGAGATTTTATTTTACTCAGCCAAAAAACTCCAGCTAAAAACGAGCCGGGCTAATTGGTTGCTTCATAACAAGAGCTCACAATTTCTCAACTTTTTTTATACAGCCCACGCTGTTGTTTTTTTTTGTGATTAGAGCCCGCACAAAAACTTTGTACATGCAAGGCTGATTTCTTTCGTAGCGAATTGTACTTCAGTGTTTAATCATATGTCTTTCGATTCCCCCAGACTTTTTATTGCGAAGCATTTTCAACATTTATTGAACTTCGATGGACTAAGTGACAAAAATGCTTCAAAGTGGTAAATACGGTAGAATCAAACGACGTTTGATTAAAAAAATAGGTGTTAAATTTAGATATTTCTTGGCAAAAAAGCATATGGTATTGAAGCTTCTTAGATGTGATATGTAGATTTCAGAGACATATTTATGGTGAAGCCTGTTTTCAACTGCAATAAAAACAGCTTGTTTACCAAATGATTGAGCTAAATAATGGCGGTAGCAAAAACGCGCTTTGTGATGGACTTCAAAACAGGCACATTTAATTATGTCTTTGAAATATAAAAAGTCAAGATGATTCCTTATAATGAATCCATATAATTGTCGCTAGTCAAAAATATTCAACGTCTACAATATACAATATCAAAACGTTTTTTTTTGATAATTTTTTATAATTTGATTGAATGACCTGGCTCAGTTTTGCATCTAATTATGTCATTTTTAACATCTGTGCTAAAATAGCAAGAAAGTAAAACCCAAACAAAAATGTGAAAAATTGTGCCTTAGGTAAACTATGTGTTGTTTTTCTGACTTCTGTAACGAACTTACAAATTCTTTGTGCTCAGGATGCTTTTTCTTTCTCAAGAAAGTTTTCATTTTTTAATAAGCTATTTTTGATGGAACTGGGAACAAATTAACGCGCGATATGTCGCGCTCTTAAGGCGCAAGCGGAGATTTAATCCGTCTGAGAAAACGTTCCAATTTGGTTCAAGGAAGCTTAATTGCCATAACTAATTCGTTACTCGGAGCGAAATCTATCATTGTATATTTTATGGCTTGTGGGGTGATGATTTTCAGAAAAAAAATCTCAATTTTAAAATATATATTTTTTTCCATTTGTTTTTATTACCTTTAATTTTTTGGTCTTATTACTACTCCATAGACCTTAATAGGCAAACGGAACATTCAACGCTTCGCCTTGATACGCGCAATCTCGAACTTAAAAAGACATCGAAAGTCAAGTCGCGAAAAACCAAATTCGAAGAACTAGTTTTTTCTTTCCAATCGTTGACACGTTGAACCTACTCTAATTATCGAGTTCTCTTTTTTTTAGTAAGTAAAAGAAAACAAGTCTGAAATATTTTATCTATCAAAACATTTTAACTATCATCAGAGTAATCATCTTTTATAACAGACATGCTGCTTAGAGGGACTCCAGTTAAATATTTAAAACTCTTCGAGCAAGTAGACCGGAAAACTTTAAGCTGAAATTCGATTCTCTTTTCAAAACCAAATTAAAGAGAAAAGTAATCCAATTTTTCTTTGACTTCGATAAACTAAGTGACAAAAAACTTCGCAGTGATAAATATGGTAGAATCAAATGGCGTTTGATTAATCAGTAGGTGTTAAATTTGGATATTTATGGGCGAAAAGGTATATGGTATTGAAGCTTTCTAGATGTGATATGTAAATTTCAGAGACATATTTATAGTGAAGCCTGTTTTCAACTGCAATAAGAACAGCTTGTTTACCAAATGATTGAGCTAAATAACGGCGGTAGCAAAAACGCGCTTTGTGATGGACTTCAAAACAGGCACAATTAATTATGTCTTTGAAATATAAAAAGTCAAGATGATTCCATATAATGATTCCATATAATTGGCGCTAGTTAAAAAAAAATCAACGTCTAATGTATAATAAAAAATCATAACGTTTTTTTCGATGTATTTTTTTTAATTTGACTGAATGACCTGGCTCAGTTTTGCATCTAATTATGTCCTTTTTAACATCTGTGCTAAAATAGCAAGAAAGTAAAACCCAAATAAATATGAGAAAAATTGTGCCTTAGGTAAACTATGTGTTGTTTTTCCGACTTCCGTAACGAACTTACAAATTAATTGTGCTCAGGATGATTTATCTTTCTTTAGACAATTTTCAGTTTTTAGTAAGCTATTTTGACGGAGTTTGGAACGAATTAACGCACTATCTATGTCGCGCCATTAAAGTTTAAGCGATGTTTAAATCCGTCTTAGAAAACGTTTCAGTTTAGTTGAAGGAAGCCTAATAACCATAACTGATTTGTTAGTGGGAGCAAAATCTATCTTCTTGAATTTTTAATGGCGCGTGGGATGATGATTCTCACAAAAAAATCTCAATTTTTAAATATTTTTTTTCCATTTTAGTTTAATACCAATAAGTTTTCGGTTTTACTACTATTCCATAGACCATAGAAGGCATTCGAAACATTCGACGCTTCGTCTTGATAACCGCAACCTTGAATTTAAAAAGACATCGAAAGTCAAGCCGCGAAAAATCAAATTCAAAGAAATAGTTTCTTCTCTCCGGTCATTGGCACGTTAAACCTACTCTAAAAACTGAGTTCTGTTATTTTTGGTGAGAAAAAACAAGTCGGAATTAATCCATAACAATGATCAGAGTAATCAGCTTCTTTAACAGACATGCTGCTTAGAGGGATTCCAGATAAATATTTGAAACTCTTCGAGCAAGTAGCCCGGAAAACTTAAAGCTGAAATTCGATTCTTTTTTCAAAACCAAATTAAAGAGAAAACTATTCCATTTTTTCTTTGACTTCGATGAACTAAGTGACAAAAAAGCTTCGCAGTGATAAGTATGGTAGAATCGAACGGCGTTTGATTAATCAGTAAGTGTTAAGATTATATAATTTTTGGCGAAAAGATATATGGTATTGAAGCTTTCTAGATGTGATATGTAGATTTCAGAGACATATTTATAGTGGAGCCTGTTTTCAACTGCGTTTGGAACAGCCTATTTACCAACTGATTCAGCTAAATGACGGCGGTAGCAAAAACGCGCGTTGTGATGGAATCTAAAGCAGGCATATCTAAATATGTCTTCGAAATTATAAAAAGTCAAGATTAATCCATTTAATGATTCCATATAATTGTCGCTAGTCAAAAATATTCAACGTCTTATGTATAATACAATATCAAAACGTTTTTTTTTTCGATAATTTTTTATAATTTGATTCAATGACCTGGCTCAGTTTTGCATCTAATTATGTCCTTTTTAACATCTGTGCTAAAATAGCAAGAAAGTAAAACCCAAACAAAAATGTGAAAAATTGTGCCTTAGGTAAACTATGTGTTGTTTTTCCGACTTCTGTAACGAACATACAAATTATTTGTGCTCAGGATGATTTTTCTTTCTCTAGACAATTTTCATTTTTTAATAAGCTATTTTTGACGGAACTGGGAACAAATTAACGCGCGATATGTCGCGCTCTTAAGGCGCAAGCGGAGATTTAATCCGTCTGAGAAAACGTTCCAATTTGGTTCAAGGAAGCTTGATTGCCACAATTAATCCGTTACTAGAAGCAAAATCTATCATTGTATCTTTTATGGCTTGTGGGCTGATGATTTTCAGAAAAAAAATCTCAATTTTAAAATATATATATTTTTTCCATTTGTTTTTATTACCTTTAAATTTTTGGTCTTATTACTACTCCATAGACCTTAATGGGCAAACGGAACGTTCAACGTTTCGCCTTGATACGCGCAATCTCGAATTTAAAAAGACATCGAAAGTCAAGCCGCGAAAAAACAAATTCAAAGAACTAGTCTTTTCTTTCCAATCATTGACACGTTAAACCTACTCTAATTATCGAGTTCTCTTTTTTTTAGTAAGTAAAAGAAAACAAGTCTGAAACATTTTATCTATCAAAACTTTTTAACTATCATCAGAGTAATCATCTTATATAACAGACATGCTGCTTAGAGGAACTCCAGATAAATATTTAAAATTCTTCGAGCAAGTAGACCGGAAAACTTGAAGCTGAAATTCGATTCTCTTTTCAAAACCAAATTAAAGAGAAAAGTATTCCAATTTTTTTTTGACTTCGATGGACTAAGTGACAAAAAAAAACTTCGCCGTGATAAATATGGAAGAATCAAACGGCGTTTGATTAATCAGTAAGTGTCAAATTTGGATATTTGTTGGCGAAAAGGTATATGGTATTGAAGCTTTCTAGATGTGATATGTAAATTTCAGAGACATATTTATAGTGAAGCCTGTTTTCAACTGCGTTTAGAACAGCATTTTACCAAATGATTCAGCTAAATGACGGCGGTAGCAAAAACGCGCTTTGTGATGGAGTCTAAAACAGGCATATCTAAATATGTCTTCGAAATTATAAAAAGTCAAGATGATTCCATATAATGATTCCATATCATTGGCGCTAGTTCAGAAAAATCAACGTCTAATGTAAAATAAAATATCATAACGTTTTTTTCGATATATATTTTTTTAATTTGACTGAATGACCTGGCTCAGTTTTGCATCTAATTATGTCCTTTTTAACATCTGTGCTAAAATAGCAAGAAAGTAAAACCCAAATAAATATGTGAAAAATTGTGCCTTAGGTGAACTATGTGTTGTTTTTCCGACTTCCGTAACGAACCTACAAAATAAAACTGCTCAGGATGATTTTTCTTTCTTTAGACAATTTTCATTTTTTATTAAGCTATTTTTGATGGAATTTGGAACGAATTAACGCACTATCTATGTCGCGCCATCAAAGTATAAAAGATGATTAAATCGGTCTTAGAAAACGTTTCAGTTTAGTTGAAGGAAGCCTAATTACCATAACTGTTTTGTTAGTAGGAGCAAAATCTATCTTTTTGAATTTTTTATGGCGCGTGGGCTGATGATTCTCACAAAAAAATCTCAATTTTTAAATATTTTTATCCATTTTAGTTTAATACCAATAAGTTTTCGGTTTTATTACTATTC